CCTCCCGCGCGACGGCGCCGTCGACCTCGCGGCCCCCCTCCACTGCGCGAAGTTTACCACCCTCGACGCCATGCTCGAGGACGCCGGGGGGGTCGAACTCGTCGAAAACCTCGGCGAATCCGACGCGGAGGGCCGGCCAAAGGTGGCCCCGTGGGCCGGAAACGCCCACGTCCCGCAGGACGTCAACTTCTACGAGATGGGCCGCCACCCTTGGGAGGACACCCCGTCGTCCTGGCGCCGCGACGGCTTCACCGAGCCCTCCAAGGCCTACTTCGAGGCCCAGTTCCGCGAGGCCGAAAAGGCCCTCTACGAGGACGACCTCGGCGGCCCGCGGCGCTACTGGCCCTCCAAGGACGCCGTGGAGTCCACCCACAGCGAGGTCGAGGAAAGGGGCGCCGAGCTCCTCCAGCGCCGGCTGTACGGCGAACTCGCGCGCGCCAAACGCGGGGTCGAGCCGTGGGCGGCGAACCTCCGTGAGAAGGCCCTCGAGGGAAAGCTCCCCTACCGCCTCGAGGTCGCGACCCAGGCGGAGAAAATCTACGACGACGAGTACTACCGCTGGTTTATCAACCCCGGCCATCACCCGAACCCCTCCGGGCTCACCCTCGGACGCCCGAAAGACTCGGACAAATCCATCGAGGATCGCGAGTTGGAGCGGTTTTTGAATACCATGCTCGCAGGGGCAACCCTTTCGAGCTCTTCGGAGGAGGGGGAGAAAGCCCTGGGTGAGTTCGCCGAGGAGGACGAGGACGAGGACGCTACAGACACCGAAAAGGAAAAGCCGGATGAGGATCTGGTGTGAGTTCACCAATGGTCTGCGGGGATTCCCTCACGCACACAACGCGAAGGCCTGGTGCCTCCGTACGGTCAGCCCACGTCTCGTAGTGATTAGGTTATCATCCACTTCCTCCCTCATACTTGTGATCAATGCCTATCTTTGAAAAAGAAAAAAAAAGAAGAAGGAGCAGGATGGTTTTGTGGATGAGTTGGAATTATTAGAGCTCCACCTCTCCCTTTTCATTATAAACTGAAAATATGAAGGACTCGGTTCAAAACTCGGTGAAAATGAATTTGTGCGACATGGAATTCCACTATGGGGTTTATAAAGGTGTATCCAATGAAGTTGAGCTTGTTATTTTGTTTTTGTTTTTTGTATAACCATCCCTTTTCCTTTCCCCGTACAAACTTTGCGTTTGACTTTTTCTCTCTTTTTTTTTGCAGCGTGCTTGCACTTCACAACCCTCCCCCACATACAAAGAGAGCTACCACACATAAAAGAGGATGGTCGCCGTACGCGCGAAGGTTGGCTCCCGCAGCTTTATCCGCCAAAAGACGCTGCCGAAGGGGAAAAAAGTCTTCAAGATCGACTGCAGCGTCCCGGTCGCGGATGGCATCTTTAGCGAGGACATTTTGCACGGTTTCGAGCAGTTCTTCCACGATAACACCAAACTGAACGGCCGGAAAGGCAAACTCGGGGAAAAAGTCCGGATCGCCGTGCACGACAACACGCTCAGCGTCATCACCACGATGGCGTACCGCAAGAAGTACTTCAAATACCTCGCGAAGAAGTTCCTCAAGAAGAAGGAACTGCGCGATTGGCTCCGCATTCTGGCAAATGGCAAGAACAGCTACCAGCTGAAGTACTTCAACATCCAAGACCAGGAAGAATAAACGTGAAGGAGGCTGTACGCATAACAGAATTTGAGGATTCTCTGTTTTATGGTTATTTTTGCTTAAAATATATTTAAAAAAATATGATCTTCAGCAGGTGTGACTGCGGAAGGAAAACGGGATGCTGCTTCCTTTTAGTAAAGCTCTTTTTTTTTGTGTGTGTGTGTATATGAAAGATACTTTGCACTTGCCTCATCTTTTTCCTCATCAACACAAGTATTTGGGCTGGTCTCTTGAGACGATTCACTTCAAAAAAAAACCTCAGCATACGGTAATCGATTAAACGAAAAGAAAAAGGTAAATTTTATTTAGCCATCGCAGTGTATTCTGTCAGTCCAAATGCTACGTCGAACTCCTGTGGTGCAGAATTTTAGGGCTAAATTGGAGCTGGATCGCATCCGAGGCCTTCTCCGGGGCCGCGCCCGGCTCGAGCGCAAAGTCGGCTTAAAACGACTTTTCTTTCTCATGCGCACGCAAACCCGTTATCGGGTGGAGCAAAAGGCCTTCTGGGAACGCGCGATCGTGCGCAAAAACGTCGACAGCGCCGCGCAGGAGCATGGCTCGAGTTGGGTCTACCTTCGCAATGATCTCGCCCGACAAAACCTTCTTTTATTACCGCGCACTCAACAATTATTAGCGCAGTACGAGCCCCTGGCGTTTCGCGCGGTGGTGGAGTTGTGCGCATCGCGTCTGGCCCCCCCGCCGCCCCCGATGACCGCGCAAATTCCCGAAGAAGTCTACCGCCATCATCCCGCGGATTCCTCCGAAAGCCACCCGGCGGCGCGGCGAGAATTAAAGGAAGGCGTGGAAAGAATGTTGAAGACGGGAAAGTCGGATCGATTAGAAAAAGGAGGCCCTCGCACGGTCGAGGGATGGATGGACGCATGGAAGGAGTTTGATATCGGGTCGGCAAGTAAGAAGTTGTAAGGGAACGAGGTTCGGTACAGCGCCTCCTCACAAATGGCTCGGAGGATAGGGGGATGGGAAATGAGGTTGCGGTCGTATGAATCGGTTTACCCCACCATCTCATGCAAAAAAGGTGTGTGGTGATATGGAGAAAATTTGAGCTGATGCAGGGACTTTTTATTTCCTACGATACGACAAAGATGCTTCCATTTTTTAACAATCTACTTTTTGATTTTTAAATTATCCTCTACGCATTTTCTGTGATCTATAAAAAAAAAAGACAGAAAACCCTCCAATTCACAAAAACACAAATTAAAGGGGTGGGAAATTCTCATCCATAGTCTTCAACATCTATCAAACTTAGTCTCTTTAAAAAAAACAACTAGGAATGTGATTGGACGTTGCGACTCGTGAATCTATATATGTCTTCTTTTCTTTCATCGCTTTCGATTTTCTCGTCCGATTTGTGTGAAAATGATGATGAACGGTTGATCGATAATATCATCTATCACTTTCCCGAGGACACTGATCCTTCTTTGAAACTGAATCATGTTGGTTTCTGTCTTGCCATCACGTATTTAGGTGAGAAGTTCGGCGTTGGTGGTTGTAAAAGTCATGAGGTCCAGACGGCGTGTGGCGTTTTGCGCATGTTTTCGCCCTTTGAGAACCTCTGGTTAGTTTTGGAGGCCAAGACCTCGCAGGATGGCGATCTCCTCCTCATGCTACTCCAGCGCAGCTTTCAGACCTTTGAACTCCTCAACGGGCGGCCGCTCAGCGCGGCGTTAGTCCAGCCGCACTCGGGCCAGACGGCGGAGGCGGTCCACGCCATCAGCGGCTTTTATCGCCACTTCGCACAGCTGCTGGAGGCGCACATCCTCCCCTTAGTTTGCCCCGGCCCCGGCCTCGCGGCGCCCCCGTCGCCGGTGCCCCCCCCGGGCCCCATGTGGCCCGCGATGCTGGCCTACGACGCCCTGCTGGGCTACCCGGTCCACCGCTTCAAGAACTCCACCGCGCTCTTCCTG